CCATGGGATTAATATCATTTCTGCTCATTTCAAAACCTTTATATAGCAGCTTATGCCGCCTGCCCCTTGTGATGACTAATGGGTCCCAGCAGGAGCAGGCAGGTTGGCAGCAAGAAGACTGAGGCCTCCAACCTTCTCTTAACATTGAGGACACCTGTAATGCCCGTGGCCCACAGAGGAGCTCCTCCAAAGTCTGTACCAGGGTTCAGTAAGTGTCTCCAGATCCAGAGAGCACAGCAAAGGGATTTCTGTCAGCCCCCCAAAGCTTCTCATGCTGCAGGAGGGGCATCTGATGGAAAGTTGGCCAGACCCGAACCTCCATGGGTTTCACAGGACAGCACAAGCAGATCTTCCACCCCAGACTCTTCCTTTCCCATTTCTCCTTCCCTTCGCTTGGCTGCCCAAAACGCAGGGTGGAGGAAGCAACTCATCCCAAGTACCGTTTCCTCCTTTGCTGATGGCCTGCAGATAGCTGCAGCATTCCCTCCAACCCCCCAGAATCCTCTCTTCTGCAAAGCCTGCATTGAATGGAGCAAAGTCTGTTGCAAAGAGATCCCTAGTGAGGATTGAGTAGAACAGAGGTGCTTTGTGTAAGGGCAGCACAGGCTGGAGCATGTCAACAGAGCCACCTTTTTTGGGTGGCTGGGGTGGCATGGGTAGGATGTAAACAATCCCCAGCAACCTTAGACAATTCTGGAGCATATTCAGGCTGATCAAATTAGGTTGCAATATGGTCCCTTTCCTCCCCTGGAGGGGAGGCTGGAAAATTGCAGCTGGCTAATCCATTCGCAAAACTGTGCACATCTGGAGGAAGACAGCTAAGAGAAGAAAAGCCTGCTCTGCCCTCTCTTCTTGGCACAGTGATTTCTCATCCTCGGTGGCATCAGGGCAGAGCGTCAGTGAGCAGCTCTAAGTACAGAATGAGGACCAGGAGAGCTGCATGTTGCCCCAACTCATGGCAAGATTCGGGGAGGCAGGGCACCTCAAGGAGATCTCTGCCACCCCAGCTCCTGCTTGTCACCCACAGCAGGAATAACAAGTGCTGAAGATGAGTCAGCTCAGGGGCCCCTCCTGCTCTGCAGGCACTAATACAGTTTCCTATTAGTTCTCATTACTGCAGTATTAGAGAGCAATTTCCTCATAGCTTGCACCGCAGCCCTTGCAAAGGAGAAAAAGGGCTGCTGTACACATGGGAGTGCGGATGGGGGTGACCGACAGCTCCTGCCCAAAATCTGCCTCCCCAGAGGAACTCTGCACCCCAGGGTCCCCAAGTCCCAGACTAGAGGCAGGAGAGCCCATCCAGCCTCCATCCACCATGGCAGTGAGCATGGCACCAAGATCCTCTATGTCAGTCTTCCACCTGCTTGTAAACTACGTGGCACTTGCTAAGCATGACATGGTGACATGGAGCTCAGAAGGACACAGAGACATCCCTCGGCCAAGCCAGCTCAGTAGGCAGCTCCTGCCTTCTACGCACTACTCAGTCCCAGACCCTCACAGTAACCCAGGGTCAGTCCTGCAAGTGCTCACATTTACTCTGGGCAGATACAGGATCAAACGATTTCTCCTCAATTACACCTAAAAGCCATTCTGCTAAGGTTGGGGGTAGTAAATAGTAGAAGGGCTCAAACGCCCTTCTAGTGAAAAAAAAGGGAGGGTGGGACCCTGGACCTTTCTCACTGTGACAGAAAGAGTAGAGCTGATGTCCTGGAGATGCTGACCAAGCAGGATTATGACATTAGGGTTGGAATTGGGAATAGGAGCTCACCTGAGTGTCACCAGGCAGTGGCTCCCACAAGCTGTAAGCTCTCTGAGAGCTATCAAAACCACTCTTTGCCTTCACCAGCTTTGCTTGGCTATAGCAGAGGTGGGTAAGCAGAGCAGTCCTGGCAGAAGAGTCACACCAAAAAGCAGGACAGATCTCCTCTTGCTGCAAGGTGCCCCCAAAAAACACATTTATAGCCTAAGCCCTAATCTCAGGCCCTTCATCTTTGTGTCACTGCTCAATTTCCCCAGGTGGGATCAAGGTTTCTGGACCTGGAAATCAAGTAAGGGGACATTTGCCTTGGGGAAGAGGAGGAAAAGGAGAACAGGTGCTATGAGAAGTCCCTTGTAGTCAATGCACTGAACAACAAAAAGCTGGTGCTTCAGAGAGAGGAAAACTTCCAGCCCATGGCCCCATGACAGAGCTCATGGGAGGCTCTTGGGCACAGACTGCTCCTGGGAGGCATCACAGCCCCAGGATGGGAACAGGGAGTTGGATAGAAGGAAAATAAGGGGACCTGCAAAAGTGAAAATGGGACTGCCACTGCAGAGGGAGTTGTTGCATGGATGGGGAGAGATGGGACTAACTGGTTCCCTTGTCTTTGTGCTGACTTGGTTTCTGGTGAGAAGGTGCTGGTGGTTAGTGGGAAGAGCCAACCCTGACCCCGTAGGAGGGAGATGCCCCAGGGCAGGGCACTCCTCTGCCCCAGCCCAGCCCTGACACTTGGGGACCGAGGTGTTCTTACCTGTAAGAGGCTTGCTTTCTGATGGCCAATTGCAGGAACTGCTCCTCCACCTCTGCCACGGCCACTGCCCCTCTCATCTCCTCCCAAGCTGGATCCATGCTGTGGAGGCCCAAGCGCTGTGCTCGCCCAGTGCTCTCTGCATCTACTGCTCCTTGGAGACTTGCTGTGGCCCCCCTGGCCACCTCACCATCGTTCCTGGCAGGGGAGAAGTCTCTCCAGCTCCCAGGACCTTCAGCCATGGTGAAGTGAGGTGTCTCTCTAGGCGAAGAGTCCTCCAAAACTTCTTGGGCAGCCTGGTCTTGCCCCACAGAGTCCCACGGTGCTGCTCTGCTTTGCCTCCCCAGGGCCGTGGGACAATCCCAGCGAGGCTTAACTTCTTGAGGAAGCACAAGCACGAGAAAAAGCAGCGTCCAACTTTTTGCAGTGGTATTTATCAGCCTCTTGATAGTAGCTTGGGCAGCTCAGGCACAGCAGCTCAGCCCTATGCTGTCTCTGCTGCCCTGCCACTCCGAAGCGGAGGAATATCTGAGAAAAACACGGAATCGCTGGTGCTGCTCCTCGGAGGTGCCGGCACTGAGGGCAGCGGGGAGGGAGTGGGAAACAGCGCTCGCCGGAGAAGGGGTCTTAGGAGAGAGCACGGTCGAGGGATAGCGATGCTTGCAGCAAGCGGAAGAGAGCTTGGGTTGCCTTCTTCCGAGGGTCCCTCTCCAGGCACGTCCCTTAGCGTCCCCAGCAGCAGCAGCCGAGCAGGAGCAGCAGGCAGAGGTAGGCAGCGAGTAAAGTGCCTGTGCACTGCAGCAGCTCGCAAAAGACAAAGCAGAAAGTGAACGTGAGTGTGTGCTGTGTGCGTGGGGAGGGGGCTGCGGGGAGCTGCACGGAGCAGGCAGCCTGGTGTCACCTTAGAGACACTCGAAACTGGCACTTAACCCTTCGGAGTCTAGGGAGGCAGAGGAGGGTGACCACTCAGCCACCCCTCTCTGCTCACAGTCCAGCTGGCATCTGCCTGCCTGCAAAGGCTGCTCAGGGAGCTAGGTCTCAGCCACTTGTCTTAATCGGTCCTGCCATCAGGTGAAGTCAGGCAGTCTGGAAAACTGCATGACAGCAGCCCCAGCAGAACAAAGTACATGTTGTTTTGTCCAGTTATCCAAAATGGATGAGACCTGTCTGGGCACAGGGTCCCTGATTATGGGCAGTGGTACTCATCCAAACAGGCATGGCCATAGCATGGCCTCCCTCCTCCCAGCTGGCTCAGCTCCTTGCCATTTAGGAGGCCAGATTATCCCTGATTTTTCCTAATTCAAGGCATTTTTTTCTCCAGTCTTGGCATCCAGAGGTAGAAAGGCCCCTTCTGTTCTCTGCCCACATCCATCAGGAGAGTTGCATTGTCTGTTTGTCCTAGGCTGGGACTGAACTTTGTGATCACAGTCCCAGCTATGGCCTGCCTCAGCCTTGCCCACTCTGGTGCTGTGGATGCCAGCTGGGGTGAGAAATCCCCACAGAGCTCCCATATGTGCCTGATTTGTTCTGCCCCAGATTCACATGCTGAGGCTTTACCTGCTAGGCACTGGAAAATTTGAACTTCAGGTCTATAAGAGCTAGCCCCTGCATCATGACAGGGCCCGACAGTCATGTATTACACCAAGAACACATTGCTGTCACCCCTAATCCCAGTGTCATCCCATGAAGGTCTGGCACGACTGGAGCTGGAACCCATCCTCAATGTGCTCTGACTGTTGTATTACCTTGGGAGTTGTCAGGAGCAGCTCATTCATTTTGCCAGCACTCCCCATCACCTCTATGTGGCCCTGTGACATCTCTGCTGCAGGGTGCTGTGGCACAGCACATTCCCATGCCATTCCTGACCCCAAACTCGGAAGCAGCAGAAGCTGGAGAAGGGCTGTGGCTTTCCCTGGGAACCACAGCCCAGTGGCACCTTCAATTCAAGTTACCTAACCTTTGTCTGGTCCTAAATGAAACTATGACGTCTCCCCCTCTCTATTCCTGCTGGAGGATTTGCACCTCCCAAGGGGCACAGCAGCCCCCGTGCCCACTCCTCCACAGAACCGTGACTGGCAGGGAGCCCCACACCCTCCTTGCTGCGTGACTCAGCCCCTGCAGCCCCCACAGGGCTTTTGTTCCCCATTAAAGCTGGAGTGCTGCTGGCTGAACCCTCCCTGATGAGCAGAGCTGGCCCTGGGGAAGAAGCTTCACCCTCTCTTGCTGGGACAGAGACCTGCCTGGGAGCTTGCCAGTGCTCCCTGCATGGATGTATGGCCCTGCTCCATGTCCTCTTGCTGCCCATGGGCACTGCAGAGGCTGGGAGCAGGCTGTGGAAAGGGAGAAGCAGCAGGTGCCCAGCTGGTGCAGAGGGACCTGTGGCACCTTGGTTCTTTTCACCACCCATGGGGCAATGCCTCCCTGCTTGCCCTGGGGCTGTCTCTGGCCTGGCGGTGCCCCTTTTGCCATGGACTTATGAGAGCCACCTTCACCTGTGCTGGCCAAGCTGCCAGGGTAGGACAGAGCTGGGCTGCCCAGAGGAGCTACTGGGGATGCAGGTCCACTCATGTGCTCAAGAGATTTTGGCAAATGTCTGTCTTATCCCTTATGGTTAAGGGCCACCAAGCTGAGGAAGGGGATGGCCAGTAAGGGATGGATGCAAGTTGAAAGCTGGAGGAGAGCAGGCTCCAGACTTCCAGGTGGGAAGGAGTGGAGAGCATTTCTCACTGGTGGATGTGTTGGTGCCATAGGAAAGGAGCTTCAGGGTGGGAAGCAGAGGCCCTTATTGCAGGAAATGTCCCAAGAGCCAGGCAAAGCAAAGCTCTGGGGTCACAGCGCCTTTGATCAAGGCTGAGAGAGGGCCTGGACAGTGGGTACCTCCTGCCTTCCCAGGGGGGCTGATTCTGTGCTACAGAAACCTCCTCTGCAGGGAGGAGCTGGCCCTTTCTACCCACATGCCAAACTGTACAGCTGTCACACAGGCAGGGCAGGGCAGATTTTGTGTGTCTGGAGGAGACATCACAGGATATGCCTGCATGAGGGGATGTAAAGGATTGCTCAGGCTTCTGCATCTTTCTCTGCCCACTTGTCTCAGAAGGACATTTCACATGTCTGTCACAAATCGGGTCACCCTTCATTTGGAGCTCCCTCAGGACCTGGGAAAAGCAGGCAGATGCTGCCTGGGGACAATGTGGCTGGGCAGTTGTGTTGGGTCAGTCCTGTCCTCCTGGCACCCAAGGCACCCTTCAGCTGAGCCAGGTCACCTGTTTACATAGCACTCACCTGTGCCCTGGGTAGGGGTTTCCTTGTGTGTTGGCACATGGAACAGTGCAAGGGTATATTGGTATTACAATACAGACCCCATCCTCGTTTTTGCAGGCACAGGCAGAGCATGAGCCTTCTAGGAAGCAGCATTTCTAGTGAGTACAGCTCTGGGAAGGTACAGTCTCCTCCCCTGGGCAGAAGAAGAGAAACCTCCGCCCTGCTCACCTCTAAGCCCCATTCCAGCCACCAGATTAGAAAATCAACACAGATTTGTTGAGGCAGGCTGGGTCAGCGTCCATGCAGGTGCCATTGCTGTTAACAAGCCCTCAGTACCTGTGGAGTATCAGGAGGTGTGACCTCCCCATTCTCCCCAGAAGGTGTCCAAAGCCCAGGCTCCTTGCCAGGCAGCAGGACCAAAGCCTGCTGATCACATGATGGATCCATGTGAGTGCTAGCACACTCCCAAATTGGAACAGCAAGAGGGATCGTGCTGGGCTTGGAGAGTGGGGATACTCTCCTGAGATCCCTAACAGGACTTGTCCTTCTTTAACGAACAAAACATACCCACAAGGCTGCTGCTATGCACTGCCAGTGACCTGCTTGGCAGTGGCGTGCCTCAAAAACCAATTATTTTCTCTCTCTCTCTTTTTTTTTTTTCTTTTTTTTCAATTGGCCTGGTAACAGAGAACAGTCAGGAATAATTTGTCTCTGAAAAACGAAGTCCATGTTCCGTTAGTGCTCCTTTGCTCAGGGGTTGTAAGTGTCGAGAGTGCATAGGCTTCCTAGAAATGTGACCCTAAATGAGCAAAAGCCCATCTTGGCATGGCAAAGCTTGACTGGAGGCACTTGGAGCAGACCAAGCACAACGGAGTGAGGCTGAAGGTGACTTGTAAAGAAGGTGACTCTTGCTTTGCTAATTCTCTTGTTCTGCTCTAATTATCTGCTGTAGCCAAACTGGTAGATGTGATTGGCTGGCTGCATTTCAAGAGGCATACCAGGGATCAAAAGATCCTAATGTGCCTGCTTTGAGCAGCTCAGAATTATCTAGTAGACTGCAGAATTAGGAGGATTTGTCAAGATGGAGGGAAATTTTCTCCTGATGGAAGGGGGTTCTGGTTGCTCTGGCCACGTCAGTGATAAGGCACCAAAGCCTGAGAACTCATCCTTTTAAGAATTTCCCTCTTGCACCTGTTTTCCATTGTGCATGAAGGGTGCATGCCAGAATCTCCCTGGAAGGCAATTCCTAAAGAGCTGCGTGAAGTTTCACAGGGGTGAGCAGAGCAGGAGCCACTCCCTTGGATGAAATCTGGTGAGTGCAGAGAGCAGCCCCACCCCACAGTGGGGGAAGGTGCATCATACTGATGCAGGAATAGGAGGCTGCTTTTGGACAAGGTGTAACAGGGAAAACATCAAAACTAGTTCTGGCCCAGGACACAAACTGCAGGGCAAGGCCAGGCATTTTCTTGCCTCAGTGGGTGTGCAGGGGAAGGGAGCTCTAAAGGGGTCTGCGAAACCCACGTCAGTCTAACCCGCCACTCTTCAATGACCTGTCATGACAGCGTGGCATCAACTTTACTCTCTCCACAAAGAAATTGTAATCCACAAAAAGAGACCTTTGCAAGCCCCAAGCCTCACATTCTTCTGCTGTGGCAGAGTCAGTCCTGCAGTACCATCCCAGCCAGAGGTGAGAGACAGAGCCACCTTGTAGCATCCCTGAAAGGGGCTACTGCTTGGGCTGCTTTCCAGATATGGAGGGCCTGACTGCAAGAAAGAGTTGTTTCAATAGCCAAATTCTAATGTACCCACTTGGAGCTTTCTAGAAGATGAAGATTTGTTTTCTAGATCCTGTTGCCTTGTGTTTCACATAAAATCAGGACAAAACAAACCAGTTTTCACAGATGCCAATGGACTGTCAGAAGTACAGCCAGCCTACCAGCCAGGACCCAGGTCATTGCCAGTCGGAGCGCAGCTACTCCGCTTTTACAGTTAATGGAAGGATTTAAGTACTTTTTCAGACAGGATGGGACCAGAGCTATGTCTTTGTTGTGCAGACCCCTTCACAGTCCCTGCACCTCACAGACTTTCTTCCATGATCCTCCTTTCAAGAGGATGATAGTGGTATTTTGAAGGGGGAAAAGGAACTGAGACAGAACAGTTCTGACTTGTTCAGAACTGCAGAAGAAATGACAGTGTTGCTGGAAACAAAACATGCAAGTTTGCTTCTTAGCCCCAACACTGAGCATGGGGTCCCAGTACTGAAGCAATTCTGCACGTGGCCTGGGAATGGAACAGGGAGCAGGAAGTGAGGAGCTGTGCATGTGGGCTGGCGTGACCATGCCTCAATGAAAGGACCTGTCAACCCAGGATTGATGCTGCAACTTTTTATTTTATTTTTATTTTGCTTCACAAAGCAAATGCAGAGCAAGTGATAGGAGGAGAAGAAAAGGTGGCTTGGAAAAAACTAAAAACAAACAAAAAAAAAATTAAAAAACCCCCACAAACCAACCAACCAACCAAAAAAAAAACCAACCAAAGAGGAGAGAACAGGCAGCTGCTGGAGTATAAGTGGAAAGTGAGCTGCTACAAGAAGTTGATAGATGCCAAGCCCGCACTAATTCTTAATAAAATACAATACTGAAAATAGGATCTGAGAGTCTCCAAAATACAATATCTTAAGGGATCGGCAATAATACAAAATAAGGTTCATTATGTACAAACGAGTTCTGCTCTTGGTCTCTGTACAACGGTGGGAGTGAGAGGCATGGGGACATGCTCAGTGGAAGTGCTGGGGTGGAGGAAGGCGTGCTTGGACCCGGCAGTGGTTCTTTGTGCTGGGGTGGAGGTGGAGGTTGGGAAATGCAGTGGTATCTGGTGATCTTGAGAAGAGCTATGCTGAAAGCCACCTTCTTCCTCACCCCACTGGCCACGCAGGTATGGCTGCAGCTAGCTGTGTCCAAATTTTTCCTAAATGGCTTTGGGGGCAAAACCAATTTTCAAAAGGTAGAAAAGAAGGATATGAGGGCCCTTCTCTCGCTTCTCCTATTCATTGAGCAAGAGCCATCCCATCCTTCCTCTCCAGGGGGCCTTCTCCACTCCCAGACTGGACAAAGAGGAGAGGCTGGGGCAGTGCAGAGTGAGTCCAGGGTGCTTGATGAGAAGCAAGTGGAAGAGGAACCTGCTGTGAGACCTGACAGTGTGCAGGGACTCCCGTGTTAAAACATGGGGCAACCTGCCACATCGCAGATCTCCAACACTCATGTCCCACGTTGTCCTTTCATCAAATGGCAGCTGAGGGAATGGAGCGAGGAGACACTTAAGCCTTTCTACAGGGCTTTTGATGGGGAGGGAGAAGGATCAGAAATGAGTGTCTGGATGCTAAAAAGGATGGCACAGGCTTGAGATGAGGTCACTTCAACACCAAAATTGGCAAGTCTGGCCTGAGGGATGGTATGGCAAGCGTTTGCTACCTTTGGTGTCAGTACTTAGAAGGAAGAGGTTTAAGACTGTCTTTTGTTACCCTGGCCAATTCCAACATGCCACCCCTTTCCTGACAGATGTACCTGTCTCAAGAAATGCCAGTATGTCCTCAGTGGTTTTCACAACACTATGTGTTGTGTGCACACGGAGGATGTGAGGGGAACGCTGGCTAATCTGACAGACCTCCAATGGGTTTCAGAGCCTTCCTTGGTGGTTCCTAGAAAGACCCCATTTGTCATGAGGCCGAATTGGGGATGGAGAGCTGGGACGGGGGTCAGATTATAGGAATGTGTTTCACTCACTCTCAAAGGAAATGCCTCCAGAATGGAAAGCGAGAAGACCACTGACCTGGTTAGCACTGCACTGTAGGGCCCAAGCTGGGAACAGATGGAGAAATACCACTCCTGCCAAAGCAGGGGTGCTGAGGGTGGGGAGAAGTGGGTTGTGGGGGAAAATTGTTATCTATTTCAGAGCTCTGGTTGTCTAGAAGCTGCTGGCTAATTTTTATGGTGATTTATCTGTCTGGGATCTGTCTTCCCCACTCCGTTTGTGTGCAGATTTTTGCAGATATTTGGCGTTGAAATTACATAGGCATGTCCATCAAGAGAAAACTAGAGCAAGGAAGAACTAGGTTTTCTCTCAATGGAAGGAGAAATATACTAACTGATGGAGGGCAAGGAATGAGCTCAAACTCTCCAGAGCCATCTCTCCAGCACCAGCATCACCCACTCCTAAGTCTCCCAGGCAGGACAGTAAATCCAACACTCTCTCTTCTCTCTCTCCTTCAGGTGCATCTGATGTAGCCAAGGGGTACAGAGCTGGGACAGCCTCCTGGGTCTGGAGGCTTTGGGGAGTGAGCTGAGTAGTTTGGGGGCTTCCCCTGATCTCCCTCCACTTCAAGGTGAGCCCACATCCATAGGGTAGTGCTCACTTAAGCAGGAGGTAAGGCCAGGAGAAGAGGGTGTCCAGGGCTTCTCCAGAGATCTATTGCTGGTTCTGGCAGTCCTGTGACTCCCCTTAGAGAGATCATTACTAATGGGAAGAATGGGGAAGGGGAGGAGCTGAACCCAAGGCCAGTTTACTAGTGTCTGAATGCAGTGTCCTCTCCTGCCAAGTCCCCTCAGTTGCTTGGTGAGGAGGGAATCCTGCAATCTGACAAATGAGGCCTTGAGGTCCAGCAGCTGCTACAAGAATTCAGTTGTCTCACTGGAGCTTGTCTCCCTGAGGGAAAGAAAAGACAAAGCATCAGTCAAGGTTCATTGCAGCCTCCTATCCAAATTCACCTTTCTGTGTGCCCAACTAGTTTGCTCTGATCGGGATGAACTCCTTCACCAGGTCACTGAATGGAATGCAAACCTGGGACCACCTGAGTCATCCAGCCCTCTGCAGCTCTACGCTAGTGGGACGCTGCTTTATGAAGTCTCAGACTTTTGCTCTAGAAAATAAACTTGTTCTTATGCTCTCTGCCAGGCCTCCTTCAGCCACTGCTCTTAGCTGATTGCCTGCCCCAGGTGGCTCAGCTGTCCTTAGCTTGCAGCAGAGGGGACAGACATGCCTGCTGCTTACTCCCATACGCCACGCTGTATTTTGGGCTCAGAAGGTGGCCCCATGTGCTTACCTCTCATGGAATTGCTCTTTGAGGTGGGTGAGAGTTGTGTCAGTTCGGTTCTGGTCGGGACCCTCCAGCTGGGTTTTGCTCAGATATTTGGCTGTCTCATGTGTCCTGGCTAGATGAGGCCTTCCCTCCTCAGATTGCCTTTTTTCAGCCTCCCACCCCTCAGGATGGTCCATGGTTAGGAAGGAGCTATAGCTCTCTTCTAAGGAGCCAGCACCCTCATCATAGAAAAGAAGGCTCCGTGACTGAACTGGAAAAAAGGAGAGCATTGGTTAACAATGAGGATAAGGTTTCTTGCAATGGGTATGGGTCATGACACATGCACATGCTCACCCAGCCTTGTCCATGTGTAACTTTGCAGGATACCCTCCTCCCACCCAGCTTCAGGAGGCAAATGAAGACAGAACCCTGGACACATAGCCTCTTCAGAAGACAACCAGTCTGCCCTGGGACTCTTCCCTCATATTCCTTCCTTTGACACTTGCCATGTTTTAGGACAGCAGTTAGCATGGAATGACAACAGGCCCCAACAGAGTTTTTACCACTGACAGATTAGGAATCTTCCCTCACCACAGCCCCAGCATATGGGATAGTCACAGAGGGGAGGATGCTATGCCTGAGCAGGGACTGTTGAGAGCAGAGCCAGAAATGGTTTGACAAGTTCAAATGGAGGAACCACATTAGACTCACTCTTACTAGTTGTGTAAATGTCTGGTGCTGGTGTTGCTTTCACTGTCTGTGATGCTGAGGAGAACTCAGGGAGACAGGGCATCAGGGATCCCAGGATCAGAACGAAGCAGAGTGCCAGCACCTAGAGAGGAGATCAGCACAGAGTCAGTGCCGCTGAAGAAATGCCATGAAGAACCATTCCCCTCCACAGCACACAAACATGAGGCTGTGTAAGAAGATCTGATCAGGCTGACAATTGGGTACCTGTGGTCCCCCAGGATGGGAAGGGACTTGCTGTTCTAATCTCTGCCTCAAATCTAAGAAGGGAAGTCAGAAACTTCCTCTTGTTACTTTATTTGGAGTATTTCTGGTTCAATAGTGAGAACTTGTCCGTCCAGTTGAGAAGAGATAGTGGAAGGCGTAGCTGAGAAACAAGCTGAGAAAGAATAAGACTCAACAGAAGGGACGAACTCTGCCTTGACCAAAGGGAACCTGACCGTTGGCTCAGCAGGAGCTATTGTGGGCTGTAAAAAAAACAAGCTCACTGGGAGAAATCTGTGAGGTACCACAGGACATAGCAAGGTGAAGCTACTATCCATGCGAGGACAGAAATGACAGCAGAATTACAGTTGCCTAATACCTGATAGTAAAGATGCTGAGTCCAATGAAAGGGTTAAATTTATGCTTGACATGTAGGTATGCAGGACCACGTGTGCAAGACCTTCTGCTGTCAGGCACACCAGTCAGAGCTACTAGCTCAACAGGAGAAAGGCATATGAAATCTCCCTGGAAATGCCCCTCGAGTAGGTCTGGACCTGTCTGGAAATTCTGTTGTAACTGCAAAGCTTCAGAGTGAGATACCAGTGCTGATTTTAAGAGCCTCTATAGAGCTTAGGGAACTGTCAGTAAAGAGCAAGAAGGGACATAGGGGAAATGGTACAGAGGCAAATGCTTGTTACCTGAACACTCATGCCACCAGCTCAGTACTCAGACTTAGCAGCCAAAGAGGCAATGCATCTGTTGGTGATTTCTACTACCTACGTATATAAACTAGCTAAGTTTGACCTGGGGGGACACCTGTGGGCACAGCCAGCAATTGCTTGACTGCTTTTCAGAAGTTCACCTATTTCAGAATAGCTGTGCCTAATTAATGCACAGAAGCTGGTACATCAAGGTAATTTTGACCACCAGTGGATTCCAGGAGATATGGAAGATAGAATAATAACACGAGGATACTGTGCTATGTAAAGAGGGATTTTAATTGTCCAGACTCTTCATGGCTGGTTTTAAGGAAGGACATTAAACATGGACAGCACAGATGCTGTCTAAGTACGTCATATCAGGCACACAAGGCATTTAGAATCCTTATTCCACAAAAACAGAGGAAAAAAAAATTATGAATAAATGTTGCTTGGAATTATCACAGCCAAACACACAACTTGCAGAAAAGGGAGCCAGCCTTCCCTCCTAAAACAAAACAGGTTTTTAGGCTGGGAAAGAGCAGTATACTTAACATCTTGCTTTAACATGGCTTTCAACTGGGGCTTTGCAAAACAGCATTGGTTTTGCTCTGTTTTGTTTCAGGTTAACTGTGATGCTCTGATTCAGTTCTAGTTCAAACTCTACAACACTTCATAACAATAACTTGTGTTTTGACTCTGAGTACATTTCATCTCACAGCTTTTGACCATCTCATTACTTGACCTCTTAAAAGTGAGGGAAATCAAGCTAGAGAAAACTACTTCAAAACCAACTGGAAAAGTGGAGGAAAAACTAATCAAAAAAAGACATACTGAGAGTGTATTTATCAAATGGTTCACTGTCAAACTGTGAGGAAGTAGCAGATGGAGTAGCAGAGAGATCTGTTATGGATCTGGCAAGATTCAGCATTTTTAAGCTTTACTTGAATGATGGACTGTATGAAATCTGCAGATTGGAGAGACTACAAGCAGACTGGCTTTTGGTCAATATTCAAATTCAGAATGATCTTGATCATGGGAAGAAGTGGTCCAAGAGAACAGTGGGAAGATCTATACAGACAAATGTGGAGACCTGCTGAAACCTCCAAGGTGGCAGGACTGATTAACAGAGGAAACACATCAGTGACTACATGTTTCAGCTGTTCTAGAGAAGAAGATCTGGGAGTTAAAATGGAGCACAAGACAGACCCAAATCGGTGTCGCTTTGCAAAAGGCAAATCGCAGCCTAAGCAGAATGAATAGGCTTTCTGGCTGGATCTGTACTGGCCTTCAGGTGGAACACTGTGTCCAGCTTTGGGCCCCATACTTCCAAAAAGATGCAGGGCCACCAAAGAAAGTCTGGAATAGAGCTCTGGGAACAAGCAGTGATTCAGTAATTCAGCCTACAAGGGAAGACTGAAGAAATCATAGTGATTTAGCAGAGCAGACTGAAGGGAGTTGCTTGAAAACAAGAGTTTTCCAATATGTAAAATGCAGATGCACAAAGGGGGAGTAAACAGATCTTGCTTGGGCAGAAGTTCTAATAGGCTTAAACTGTTGCAAGGGAGATTGAGATGAAATAGCAAGAAAGCTTTATCTGGAAAAGATAACATAGTACTGAAATGGTTTGCCCTGGGAGGCTGAGTACTGCTCACCACTGGAGGCCTTCAAGAACTGGCTGTACAAATATCCAGCAGGAATGACACAGAGCTAAAGAAGAAGGGTAGTCTGCTCCACTCCTATGCTGATGATTCTACATATCTTTTGTGATAAAAAGTGCTGTATTTGAAAATGGAAAATGGGAACTAGGAGGCTTAAGAGAGGAGCTGGCCAAAGATAGAAAAGCAAATTACAAATTCTTGAAATGCTTGGAAGCTAGGAAGCCTGAGAGAGTTGGTGTGTGGGCTGGGATGCCTGGAATGAAGGGAGCAGCAAGGAGAGATAAGACATTGTTGGGACGCTAAATTAGGTATTTTATCAGTCTGTAGCACAGGGGATATCTGGCACCTCTTCTGGACTTGCTTATTCCAGGTAGTAGCATTGAAGACTTGCTGCAGCCAGGGATATTCTGATGAGATGCTGCATTAAGGAGCAATAAGCCACTGGGCTCAGGTAGGTCACACCTGAAAATCTGGAAAGAACTCGAGAATGAAGACATAGAGCAGCAAAAAGAAAAGACAATCATTAAAATCTGGTCTGACATGGGGGCAGCAAAGAGTACCAAAAGCTTGAGCAGATTTTGAAAGCGCTGGAAATTATAGAGCAGGGGCTCTGGAACTATGGAAACTGAACCAAGAGCAAGAAACAAACCCTCAGGACACTGAGGATACTGAGAAAATGGGGCAAGCTTCTCACCATCTGTCTGCTTTTCGTGACTGTTAGCAGTACAAAAGTGATTACCAGATAAAGATAACTAACTCTGACAAATTTGTCATGACCAGCTACTACGACAATCCTGCAAAGACATCACAAGGGTGAAGGTTATATTTTTACCATGGATCAGAAACTTTCCCCCAGCCAAAACTGACATGAAGAATAAGCAATTGACTCTATGGCTACACAGTGGCATGTCCTAAAACTCCTCAGTGAAGCCAATATTATTTAACCATGATCCTCCACTAGGAGAAATGAGAGGTAAACAGGGATTACCAAAATAACAGACAACCCTGATTAATTTTGGTTAGTCAAAAGGGCAAACAAAGAGTATTCCAGCTGGATTTAACAAAGCCTGATGTGCAGGCATAGCAAGAACATGCCATTTCTTGCTAATAAACACAAGGTAATGCCCACTGGGATGAATACTTGGACTGTTTGTCCACCTTGCTGAGTTAAATATTAAGCATTACCAACTCAGCAAAAGAAAACTCTACCCACTACGATGGAAGCTCATTGAAGATTTTTTCTGAATGGCTGATAGCTAATGAAAGGCAAACAAAGTGCCATTTTGCCCAAAGAACAAGACAGTGAAAATGCAGGAATTATTCTAATGTTTCTGCATAAACAACTGACAATACCAATGTATGTATGACCCAGGGTCCAGCTCTGGTGACTATAATACAAAAGGAGAGAGCAGATGTAACTGGCAACACAGCAGGGCAGCAGGGAAGAGGGCAGAGGCAATCTACAAAGCTGTCTGTAGAAGCATGGCCAATAAGGAATACGGAAATGAAGCTTATACCATTAGACAGGTCCCGGTCTGCGTGGAAGCCATTTTATAAGGTCTGGAGACTTTCCCAGCTACCAGAGCCTGCAGCTTCTGTAACTGCTGGAGGAGAGTCCTGTGATAGGAAACAACACATATCAAAACTTGGTAAGAGGCAGCAGCCAGTAAGCGAGGCAAGACTATCACTACTCTCTTCATATTTTATCTTGATTTTTCCTCCTTCTGAAAACAAGTATCTCCCCTTTGCTTTATCTTGCCCAAGTTCTCTGAACAAACAGACTTGGGAAGTGAGAGACAGAAAAAGATCTCACCAGCAGATCCACCACCACCTTCACTGCACCTACCCACTGCTGTGAATGCCTCATTCATTTAGGACTCCTGGCTGCCTCAAAGCCCAGCCTGTCAACTCCCAGAGCAGTGGAGAGCCAGGGTACCATGAAAACCAAGCTCTGGGATGGTGACTGAGCTTTGTAGACAGCTCAGGCCTTTAGCACAGACTTGTCTGCTCCCACTTCACTCACTGACACACTCTGAAGCTCCAAAGCATGAGGTAGAGAGAGAAATAAGAAACAGTTGTGATCCTCTCCAATTTATTCAGTCTTGGCAAACTCTGCAGAGGAATATGGGCAAAGCCAAATCTTGAGTTCAGCAATTAATCATTCTCTGGCTGCCCTGGTTGGAACATGTGCTAAGGTCTCTCTGCCCCATTTAACTGTTCATGGGCATCCACACACATAAACACAAAACAGTGGTAAGTGTTACCAAGAGGTACTGAACCCTTCATTGAGCTGGTGAAGGAATCTGGAATGAGGGAGACTACAAAGCACACAGTTCCCAACAGCTGCAAATTACTGAAATGCAGACTACTGCTGAGTTTCCCTGGGGGAGCACTGATTGTTTTACACAAGTATGTTTGAACTTTTATGAAATGCCAGGTCCTAGGGCCAGGTGATTGCAGGAGAATCCCGGCTTTATCTCTTTCCAAATCCTCTTCAGCTACTTGTACATGTGGAGAGAAGCACACAGTGTCCCACTGGCAGTGCTCAAAAACCAAATCCAATTAGAAAGAACACAATGTGTATTTTGAAAAAAAAATCTCCTGGTTTTTAGGCCAATCTCCTGATTTTTCAGGGTGGGGCTAATGCTTTTTCAGCAGCAGGGCTGCCCACACTCCCAGAGAGGTCAGGGGGCAAGCTGTGCCTCATGCATGAGAGCAGCTGGGCAGCTGTATCTCTGGCAGATGGGAGACCTCTGGCTCTTGCACACCTTTGGCAGACCACACCTGACAGCCCCCAGTCCTGGCACCAGTGGCTGGCCTGGAAGCCAATGCCACAGCACTCATGTCATGGATGGGAGGAAGGAATGCAGTAGAGCCTCTAGGAGTTCTCCATGAGCCTCTAGGAGTTCTCCATGAGCTGTAATGGCAGCAGAGGAGTGGGTGAGGAACTGACTCTCTGGCTGTGGTTCTCCTCTTCAATTCGAGCTGATATAAATGGGGCTACAAAAATGAGCATCCCCTTCACCAGCCCTGCACTTGACCCTGCCCTTGCTCACACCTGCTGCACCCAGTAAGGGCGAGCAGATTTGGGCCCTTCTCCAGCTCCTGCTGCCCATCCCCACTGCAGGGGCTGAAGTCTTCATATTTGCTTCCAAGGAAGCAAATTCCCCTGGTGATCAGTTGGCCAGCTCTGCATATTTGAAGCACAGGTGCTCACCAGAGCTTTGGGTGAGGGACCTTTGGGGCTGTGGGAGCAGCTTGCTCCTTTCAGGGGAGCAGCAGCAGCAGCAGCAGCAGTGAGGGAGATCCTCTGGGCTTGTTTCGCCCAGAAGAGGCTAAGAATTGGCTGGAACACCATATGCAAGGAATTACCCTAGATTTGGTTTGAGCTATCTTTATTAGAGGAAGAGCCTTTCCCTGTATTCACCAAGTCTGTTCAGCTTTCTCAAGAGAAACCTGAAACAGCCACAATATGTCCAGGGCCTTGTATTCCTCCAAAGAGCCCAAAAGCAGAAACAATGGGTCTGAGAGGCTGGTGTGAGAGGCCTCCCTTGATACATCTGTCCTGGAGACAGCCAGAGACCTGGAGGGCAATGTGGAAGGCAGCATGAGCCCAAAGGGCTGCAAGGAGAAGGACAAAAATATAAGGGATATGGGAAACGCCTTCCCTCCCTCCTCTTGCTGTGGTGTGCCTGGTCATCCCAACACAAACATTCCAGGCTTGCTAACCAAACCCAGCTGCCTCATTGCTGTCACAGGCTGAAAACCAGTGCCTTGCTGAGCAGCACCCATCCACCAGGAGCTGGGACAGCCTGCCTTTCTCTTCTCAGCCCTCTGCCCCAGCACTCCCTGACTTCCCTTCCTGCTCACCCTGCCCTACCCACGGAGGGTCAGGTCTAGCCCCTCTTACCTGTTTGCGTTTTCTAAGGTCTCCACTTTTTTCCAGAGTTCATTGTTTTCTGTTGTGTATGTCTCGACTCTATGGGAATAAAACCCATAAGCCAGTTAGTTACAAAGGCCAGACAGATAAAGAATGTAGTGCTTGCCTCTCTTGGGGTGTGGAGGCTCAGTAGCCTCATCCATCACCTGCAGATATGGTCCTGGAGTCAAATGTTACTGGCCCAATGTTGCTGCCAGCCCTGATGGAGCAGGGATGAGACTGCAGGTGAACAGTTAAGTGTGACAGTTCAGGGTTTCCCGAGGTTTGGGAGAGACAGTAACATTTGGTTACAGGCAGATCAAGTCAGGATAGACCCAAAGTTACGCAGACATTTCCATCACTTCCAAACCCCCCTAAAGAGCATGAAAAATGAGGAGGAGGAGGACAAAGTAAAACCTCTCCCACTCAGACTGAGAACCTGCCCTGGCTGTGCACCCTGGCTGTGAAATCCAGGCTGCTCCGTGCAAACGCTGGGCCAGTTACGACTGCAGACACTTGAGGGCAGCAGAGAACCTGCAGGCTCCCTCCTACGACTTCCCAACTGCAGTGGTTGGGCTGCAGCTGGGACAAGGGAAGGGGAATGCCTCCACGCCTGGAGGAAAGCAGGCCAGGGACACAGCCTGATCCTGACGGAGGCTTCCAGGACAGCCTCTGAACTAGGCGTTCCGTGCAAAAATTGGGCTTGCAGCAAAAGTGTCAAACTGAATGGTGAAGAGCCCAATTACAGGTTCTGACTAACCAGCTTTTACAGAAAGCCAAACTGACCAAAGACGTGTTCCATTAAAAAAAATCACTGAATGCTGCTTTTGGTTCACATTTAAACCTGGCATTGTTTGAAAGCCATCTGTCATAGCAATGCTCCAGCGTAACAAACTGCTGAGTACATACAGGCACCACGCACGGCCACAGCTGGGAAACAGGCCCCAGCACCAAACGCCCTGGACCTGTCCCTTAAGCAAGGCCAGCCAACTCCCCAGCTCCAGCTTGAAGGATCTGGGTGAAGGATCTGGGTGTCAATGTGGGACACTGGCTGGAGATTATGTGCTCTGATGCCTGGACACACACATGCACACCGAGATGCTCCGTGAGAACCTGAAGGTGCCTCAAGTCATCTGTTTTAATTCAGCATTTCTGTGCAACTAGAGAAGATAAACAAGTAGCATCAGGAAGAAGAGTTAATTAAGGTTGGGTTTGGGGGTTGTTTTTTTCCATTTGCTGATCTCAGATGGTGTTAGGAACTGAGAAGAAGATAGTATTTATGCAGAAACATGAATTTGCTCCTGGATCCTAGCATTCTTCTTTGCCCATTATGGGAATGCCCATTGGGGTTGCTAGTACAGAAGTTATTTTCTACCCTGTCAGTGTTATGTGATGTCACCATAAGCTTATGCCTGCTATTCATGCAGGACCTCAGGGTTGCAAGGAGAAAACCAAAGCTAATGCAGAGAGTGGAAGGGGAGGGAGTGTGGGGAATAACTGTAGAGCAAGGTTTTTCTTGCTGTCAAGTGCTTGTGTGTCCGCCTTCATGGGAAGAGAGGGGGAAAAGCCATTGATAGCACTCTCAGAGAGCCCACTGCTTGTGGGACAAAAAAAACAGAAACAACTTCTAGTGGGGAAACAGGACTCTTACCCAAAATCCCACCTTGTTGGCAGCCAAAATGGCCTGTGTTTTGCAGGGGACTAGCCAAACTAAGCAGTTGGAAACATAAAATTTCTTGAGCAATCTTTATCCCACAAGAAGGCTTCTAGGAAGGAGGGGAATAGGGGCAGGATCCCAAACCAAACTCCTGTGCAGCCAGCCTTGCAAGAAATCATACTTTCTTAGCAATTCACAAAACACTAGAAAGGAGGACTGTGCATGGACAGGATTCCTTTTTTTTAAAGATAAGACTGAGAAGAAGAAACTTACTTTTTCTCTAGACACTCCACATACTCTTTCTTCTTCCTGCGACTCTCCTGAGCAGAGATCTGGGAGGGAGGCAAGCCATCAGAGAGGAATCAACATCGTAAACGTCTGGACATTTTGTGGCTCATGCATCTTGTCTGTTCCCTGCACACACAGCACTCTAAATGGGGAAGTCGCCTTCCAGTCTGTCATTCCTACTGGTCTCCAGGCCAAAACTGGGAGGGATGGATGCTGTAGGTATGCAGCCTTTCTTGGCCTGTAGGCCACAACCATTTGTTGCAGTATGTCCCTCACTGCCGAAAGCATCTTTAGGGTTGCTTTGAACTCCTCTGACTCACATGGGTATGTGCTGTGGCCATCTGGGCTGATTCTGCCCCAGATCACTTATGAGTCACCTGGTGATTAATTCAGGCTCTTACCGTTTCTCCCACAGGATGCTTTCCTATACCAGTATAAAGTCTCACAGCCTCTGCCTGGCTCGTGAGCTCTGTGCATCACCCGTCCTGCATCATGCAATGGCTCTGGTTTCCCTGCCTCCACCAGCAAGGGAACTGACCAGGCCAGTTAGTCTGATCTGTGATGCCTTGGCCTGTGGGCCCTATGAAGGCCACACATTCCCAGGAGCTGGGCTGGAAGCCATACTTCCCGGATATGGCTGTATGCAGAGCAAGCATGCAGAGATGACCCCTGGCACCATTTTTGTGGGTTGGGAGGCTCGTGCTAATGTACCAAAGGCAGGATCCCACCTTTTCTGAGCTGCAGTGCAGCTGAGGAGGTGAGGGTAACCATAGCACTGGTCAACTGAGGATGCTCTGGAATCATGGGAACTGCATGATTACATTTTTTGCAGTCACCTTGTTTTTGATTTTCCTCCTGACTCTCTTCAGTGCTTTCTCCTCTGCTTTGGTGAGGGGCAGCTTGGTAGGAATGGGGTAACCCTCGGCAATCAAGGTGCGCTTCTCCTCTTCAGTCAAGAGCAGAGGGCCAGAGGTTCCTTGTAACTTCTGAAACACACACAGAGCATCCATCAGTGCCAGCAAGGAGTTCTATCCCAGTGATCCTCTTTAAAGCCTTGCAGAGCATCCAGAGGCTGTATACCTCAGAATAGAATACACTGCTTCCCACTGATACTAAATAGATGCAGGACAGTGCTTTTTTCTTCTCTCAACCTGATCACGGGGGCACAGCTCAGCAGCTCTTTTGCTTGGGAGGGGATCTGCTCTTTCGTGGTGAGGCTGGCTACACAATTCTACTTCAGGACCCTGCCAAAGAACTTTTGGGCAATGGATAAAATGGTCTGGTTATGGGAATTCTCAATAATTCCTTTCTCTCCCATTAACCTCCTCAGAAAGTCCTCTAGTGCATAGGCCACTTCCCAAGGTCGGGGGTGAAAGACAGTACCTGCTAAAACAAGGTAGCTGATGGTAGGTATTATGCAAGACTCATTGTGCCTCTCCTCACTCCTCACCATCCTGTCCCCACATCCCCGTGCTAAGACATCACATTGCTTTGCCAGAGCATTGCAGCTTGGAGAGCATAACAAGAGCAGGATCCCCTACATGAGCCTTGGAAAGCCTCCAAATCCCTCTGAGCACCAAGGAGCCCTGTGTCCCAGTGATGTCCTGCTGCCTCCTTACGTGTGGTGCTGTGAGGAGAGGTGAGGAGGAGATGGCAGTAGAAGAGCGAGCAGCAGGCCGGGCTGGGCTGGAGGGGGGCAGGGACCGAGGGCTCTGAGATCCATCGCTGTCACTCCCATGGCTGCTGGGTGGAGTTGGAGGCATCTGCACCAGGTCATCTACTGAGAAATAAGGAGGTCAAGTCAATGGGTCTCATGTCAGCCTGTTGGTAGAGGCATAGGAGAGGGTAGAAGAAAGGAGAGGGTGATGAGTTTCCCAAGATGGGGTGGGTCTGAGAATCAGGATGGACTGAGCACTGCCCAAGAGAGAAGTGAGACTGACCTCAAATGTGCTAAACTAGGAACTGCAGGAGAGCTGGTAGGGGCTTTGCCAAGACACTGAAGGTATTTACAAAACAATAAGGTACTCTAGTTCAACCAAAATGAAGTACAAAGCCCATGATGTTCACAAGTACAGGAAACTGTGAGAGAAAAGCTCTTCCAAAAGCACTGCTGGGCTCACACACTTGACAGCACACTTGATCCAAAGGGGCTCCAGTCACTCAGTTAATTTCCAAGCACTTGAAAACTGTCCCCACTTTGTACTGGAGAGCCCTGGGGGCCTTCATGGAAGTGGGAATATGCCTAAGGAATGTCTTTCTGCGGTAGTGGGAGTTCCTATAGTGCTTTCATTTGTGCATCGGCAGATTTTCAGATGTTTGGGTTTCTTTCAAATTAAACTGGATCCTGAATTTCCTGACTTTCAGATGGTTATTTTTGGATAACTCTACGGTCTCTCTGAGGATTTTAAAGGCACTCTTGCATATTTCCAACTCTGAAGTAGCCTATTTTGCCTGGGAGTCCCTATCTGAACAATTTCTGTGTGGCTGCTGGTCCAGACACCGATCTGCATTGGAACAGTGCAATGCTCACTCCTCTATTATTCTGTGCCCCAACGCTACCTTGTATGCATGGCTCTGACCTCAGGTGTTGTCTTTTCTCCCAATATAATAACCATCCATATCTGAGTAATATAGTTGACCAGGAAATTCTATCTTCTTACCTGTAGGAACATTTAGAAACTGGTTCACCTCTTTGGGTTCAGCTTTGATCACAGGTGCTGGAGTAATTTCTATGGGAATCTGTGGAAAAGAAGCAGAAAGAGCTTTTGGGCACCGCCAAACACCTCACCTCCCCTGCCCAAAAGGCTCCCACCAGTTCTGTTCACAGTCACTGCTCCCCTGCTGCCCGTCTTGCCCCACCTCACAGCTCTGCTCCAAAGCAGCCTCTCACCACACATAAAGGAAACCATGAGTTCAAACATAAGCCTCTGAAGTCTCAGTTGCTGGGCACACAGAGTGCAAATATGTTTGCAGAGGAAAAGGCAGAGGCAGATGCTTGTGCTGCCAAGCAATGCACTGAGCTGAGTACCTCCAAAAGGGAGACGACTTTTATCCTTGGCAATTATTTTGATAGACCCAGACAGTGTAATTTAAACCAACCCATGTGTTACCATGCAAAGTCCCTCTTTGATCTGCCTTTATTATAAATGGAAATATAGAGGTTATACAGAACAGAAACAGAACAACCACCCTGTCCTGCTCACATGATTTTCCCCAAGGCCACTGGTCAACTGTTTCCAATCGGAGGGGACTGAGAGCTGAATAAAGAGTAGATTTATTCCCATCTGGGTTATGCTGCCCTTCAGCTCCTTTGCTTGCCAGCCCCCTGCCCACCATAGGTTGGAGTTTTTACACTAAACAGACACATTTCAAACTCCTCCAGACTGTAAACACAGCTGAGAGAAGACCATGGAATGGCTGCTAAGCACACAGCAGAGCTTTGAGGGCACAGCAAGTTCAAGCTGTGTAAATAATAGAGGAAGTTTGTGCACAGCTTTGGCTGGAAAAAACCATTTGTTTTGGATGGCTGCTTAAATGGGAAGATGATCAGCATGAGTGAAAAAAGGAAGTGAACCCCAGAGATGCTCTACTGTTATCTACTGAGCTGCTTCAGGATAGGCAAGGTCTGTGTGAGACTGATCAGACCTTCTCATGAACACAGCTGGACTCAAGGCCAGCCAAACTGAGCCCTTGACTTACACCCAGATGCCAGTGGCATAACTGTACCTCCTTCAGACAAACAGATTTCTTAAAAACCTGGATATGACAAAAAGAGTTGGCCCCTTGTTTCATAGAAATAATAATTCCTGCTGCTTCATAGGAAAAAGCAAGCAGGACCTGGAGTGGAACCTCCACTTCTAGTGAGCAGTTACGAAAAGTGAGAGGCAAAGTGACAAGTCCAAAAGAGAGCGGCAGAGGAGGGATCTATACTCCGGAATAGTGGGGTCACTGGCACCACACTACTTTACACTGTTTTCTGAAAAATGAAAATAAGCCAAGAGTGGCTATAGAAATACTGGCAGATTGGAGGGGACAGATCTCCATCAGGTGCAAACTTAAAGCCTTTGGCTTTTGTGCCAAGGAACTGGGCTTATATTTAACCAAGATTGCAAAGCCTCCTGTGCTGGAGAAAATCCTCCTTTCACCACTTTCTCTATAAGGATAAGCTGTCTTCTAGCTTCACTGCAGAAATCAAGAACAGTTCTAGCCAACATCAGGAATGCTGCTCCTCTGACTGCCATTTCAAGAGGAGAATGACAAATAATGCAGTATCTGGGCTTTGTATCACCTTCTCCTCTCTGTCCAGCAGCTAAATCACCTTGCAGGACCCTGCAGTCACATGGCTGAGTCTGCATCACCAAGGGTGCCGCTGTGTGAGAGCCCAGGTTCCCAATGGATCTTAGATGGGCTCACCTCCTCGGGGACTGGCAGTCTCTGCAGAGGGTTGAGGTTCAGCACTGGTATGGAGCTGGCAGCTAGCTGGGACTCAGGCAGGTCTAGAGCCAGGTTCTGTTCCTGTTTCACCATGATGGAGCAGAGCTTGGGCCCCAGCGACCACACTCCATTCTCCAGCTCTGAAACATGCACAACGTGAGAGTCAAACTCTAGCAAGAACAGGGCAAGGAAAATAAAAGCCATGCAGACAGCTTCCCCCTGACTGAGGAGGCTGTCTTTCCAAGTTTAGCACTGTAATCACACAAGCATGTGCAGGCCCACAACACAGAGTGCAAAAGGGAGTGAAACCCCAGCGTGTGGGGAGCAGACAGGACAGAGCTAGAGGAATTGTATCTCTGCTGTGCTCTGGCTGTGCAGCCCGAGCTCTGGAGGACAGCTGCAGGGTTTCTTCCCCCAGTAATGTCTATGTCTCATCCTCTGGAGCTTATTTATATTTAGGGCTCAGTGAGAGGAGGATGCTGGGCTGTTGCTCCTGAGGCAGCATGGCCAGCATCACAGAGCTGCCAGGTGTGTTACCAAGAATAGCACCATCTCTGTGCTAGAAAGCTGGTGAGAGGGCAAGCATGATGACAGTAAAAGGCTGACAGTGCTGCTTTGGCCTCCAGATGATGTTGTGCCATCATCTGGATGATGGGCTTTTCTGCCTGACAGAAAGGAGGAAGGTCCATTTCTGTGGAAGGAAGCTCAGTGTGGCACCTGCTTGTGAGGCTGCTTCCACAGCTGGTCCCCTCAGTCTCACCTCTGAGACTCTCTCCTTCACCCTGCACTGCTCAGCGGAACTGCTGCCTGCAGCTGTGCCATGCTGCCATTGCTAGCAGGGGCAAGAAGCAGCAGTGAGGGAATTGAAGTGTCTGAAGAGAACTTGCTCCCTGCCTGCTCTGTCCTGTGCACATTTGAGACGTGAGCCTGGCTTGTCACTGGAATTAGAGATCACAGGAACTGGGATTCATGCAGCATCGGATAAACTGCAGCTCAGATGGGAAAAACAGAGTGCTAGGCAGGAAAGCTGCCTGGACTCTGCTCTGAAGTTTTGGTCTTTGCTCTTCAAACACTTCAGCCTGCCAAAAAGCTACTCCTGGCTGGCCTACAGCCTGCACTCTCCTTCTTAATTCTCATGCCTTCCCTTTCCCTTTTTATCTGACAACCAGAAACACATTTGGCTTGACACAGGACAAACTATTGCTAAGCATGTCACCAGATAGTGCCCCAGTTGCCTCCACATGAGGCCATAGTCCAACTCACTCTCTGACCCCTCTTGCACTGCTCCCTGCATGCAGCACTCTCAGTCAGACCCAGGGATGTTGCCTAGCTATCTGCTGCACACAGCAGCTCTTCAGTGCAGGCCGCAGTGCAGAAGATGTCCTGGCAAGAGGAGAGGGGGAAGAAGGTCCTTCTCAGGTCCAGAAAAGCCTGCACAAAGAGTACAAGCAAACAGCTGTTCATGTGGAGCTGCCATCTGATCAAAACTTAAAGGTACCTTAACAACTCAGCTTCTGTTGCCTCTTGGAGACGCCAGGACAGAATCCTGCCTCTGGCTTTTGCTTGGACAGAGTGGTGTTAAAGCCTGGGCAAGGATTATATCAGTTAACACAGTGCTGTCCTTACCAATGGAATATGTTATCTTCCTGTCTTTGGTCTAGCACCTCTTATTTTCTGCCTAGACAAGTATCTCTAGTACATGCTCGTTCCTTCCAGCTGCCTCTGTGACTGGACATCTTCAAGGACAGACACAGCTCCTGTGGCTGCTCTGTGTGTGTATTAGCTGTGAGTGCTGCTCTCAGTGCTGCTAGATCACTTCCTAGAGCTTCCCACAATGCAGCAGGGCCAATGTCATCAGGCAGCGTCTCAGGCAGGGCTGCACTGCTCAGGCATAACAATGGAGAGGCTTCTGAGCAGACACAGAGTGGACTGTGTTTTCTCTGTCCTGCAAAGGACACCAAACCTGCAGCTGGTAGCAAAGTCTCCTGGTATGCAGACAACCCCCCCTGCATAACTCTGGTATGCAGACAGACCCTTTCTGATGGAAGGAGGCAAGGTGGTACACAGCCCTGAGTGTTTGTGTCCAGAAAACGTGGACTGACTTCTGCCTGTCACAGAGATAAAGGACCTTGAGAGATCTTCCAGTCTATCCCACTGCTCTAGGCAAGTTCAACCACATCTGTGTCAGTCCTGACAGATGGTTGTCTGACTTAATCTTACTGCTCTGAAAGGCAATGAAGCATCCACAGCTTCCCCCATTTAAATTCTTCTATGGTTTCACTATGCCCAGTATGGGAACATTTTGCCTCACTATGATTTGAAGCCTCATCTTCCTCATCTTTCCTTTCTGTTGCAAAGCTCTGCATTCCTCTTTTTCTCAGAAGTGTGGGGCACCCTCTGTGGGAGCTGCTGCTGAAGTAAGGGAGAGCAGACCACCAAGAGCTCTCCCCAACGAGACTTGACTCAGTGAGAGAGCAGCCCCCAGTGGTGTCAGTCCAGACAGGCTAAGGAACAGACACCCAAATAAGTATGTGCTGTCTTCCCATTTCCTGTCTACATTCTGACCCCGCTCTCTTTCCCACCCTCTAAGATTTATCTGGGGAGTGATTGGGTTACAGAATCAGAAACACATAGGCCACCAGAGGGTCAATAAGGGATTGAGGAGGAGGCATCTCGTGCGGACACATCTGTGTTCTGCTGCCTGAGAGGATGTTTCAGAGGCCTGGCCAGTCTGTAACCACTGCAGATTTCACTATATGCTGGTGGATGAGGCATCCCAGGAAGCTCCCCCTCTACTCTAGATACTCTGTACATATTAGGAAGAAGTACAGCTGAGAGATATCTGTAGCTGCTCTGGGTTGAGGAGGTGAGGCAAAGAGCAATGAGGAAGCAGGACTTGAACAGGAGGGCTGGCACTAGCCTGAGGCTGGTCCACCACCCGCTGTTCTGCACAACCCTGGTTCCCCCTGCTCCTGGCATCAAATCACACCCTGCAAAACTGAGGGCTGGTACTGACAACTGAAGAAGCCAGTCTGTATGCACAAACCATCTGGAAAGCAGACTCTGCTGATAAGCGGGGTCACAATGCACCCAGTGGCTTGCTCTAGCTGACCTGTGTTTGTGGGAACCATGTGGGAAGGGGGAGGATTTGGAAAAGTTTTGGAGATCTGCAGAAAAGCTGGGAGAAAGCTGATTAATAGCAAGCCTCAGCCAGCTCCAAGCCTAGATAGAGCGAAGGCATTCCTGAGGAGCTCTGCAGACCAAGCAGAGCTTGCTTAATGTTAAAGAAAAGCCATTCCTGGACAATTAATTTTAAATGAATGTCTAAAAGGACTGAGACCGGATGGAACCGTGCCAAAAGGACTGCACAGTGTTGTAAATACTGGATCTGACTCAGGGCTTCACTAGAATATGACTCACATCCAATTATGAGCCAAGAAAGCCCTGGAAAGATGAGCTGAATTATTGAGCTGCAGGATTGGGTGCATAGATACTCCTGTACCTGCCATATTAACGTTAGGCCTTACTTCCTGTATAAAGCTGATCTGCACTCTCAAGAGAGCAAGTGCCAGGTGCATCTCAAGCTCTCCTGAGTTGAGTGCTGTACACTCTGTGCTGGCTTCTGCCCAAGGGTATCAGTGTCACGCTCCATTCACAAGAGTCATAGTCTTGCCTTTGAGACACAGCAGCTGAAGGAGGGGCATGTCCAAATACAGAGGAGAGGAGCAGAAGTGGTAATAAGTGTCTCAGAGAGGAGTCCCTGAGGCAGCTTCATGTAGGCAGTCTTAATTTTCAGAGCTTTCTACAAAATCATCCTTTTTCCTACTGTCATTCCCAAGTCTCTTCTCCTCCTATTCATTTTCAGGGGCAAAATAAAGATGTGTTTATTTGTTCGTGCTGGTTTGGTTTTTTTTAGTTGCCCCCTCCAAGACTGTACTGGAGTTAAAGCTAAGGAAGAAGAAATGTAAGTGGAAAGCTTTTCTGATACTAAGGCAGAGCTGCTTGGCCTGCCATAAGCCTCTCTCCCAGCACCTTTCTGAGTTGCCCCTAAGGAACGTGGCAGATAGTTGTGTCCTTTGAAGGGACCAAAGAGGCAGTGGAGGCCAGCCTCCTCTTCTCCTGCCTTGACATTTGTACCAGAGAGCTGAGATCATTGCTGGCCATTAGAGGGAAGCCTCTGTCCCAGGTCTCACTCTCGCTCAAAGGAATGGTTTTCTTCTGTGTATACTGAGCCTATGCCACTGCTTTTTCAGGCAGCGTGGTGTCCATCAGCTGTTGGGACACCCACACAGTCCCACAAATTACAGGACTCTCTGCAAGGACGGCTCTAAAAATATCCAGCCATCATAAATTATGCTGAAATGAATTGTTTTAAAAATAAGTCTTGAAATTACTGTCCCTCTCTGTCTCCTGCTAAAAAATCTGCCAGTAAAGAAGCCACTTAGCCTTCCACATGTATCAGCACTCATGCTTCCTATGTTCAAGCCAAAACCCTGCTGCCTGATGCCAAAATGGAGCTGGATCTAGGGCATCCACACCCAAGTTTGCAGGATCCTAAAAAGACATTGCCTATTGCTTGTCAGAAGCTGGCAGCACACCGAACCACAGCCAATTATCATCCTTCATAAATAACAGTAAGCCTGGCAAAGGAGCAATGTGACTGTCAAAGCACAAATGGAAGGAAAAAACATAGGCTGTATTTGACAACTGCAGATCACATTCTTCCCTGGATTAGCCACGTGCAAGACCAAGGAATAGCCAGTCTTACACATGGAAGACAGCCAGAGCCTCTGCTAACAGATGTGCCCAAAGTTGTGCAGTGTGCATCTCTCATGCTCACCATTAGTATTATCTTCAGCCTTGACAGGCACAAGGGGGCTCTGGGGAGCAGAGTCTCCACTGAGGGAATAGCTGTGCTCTGCCTGGATGCCTGGAGTGGGTGGATCTAGGTCCATGTCCAGCAGTGGGTTCTTCTCAGCCAGTACTGGGTCATCGAAGAAACTGCTGAACAGGTCATTGGAGAAATCCTCCATGTTGTCAGAGAAGTGATCCAGGTTCTCTGAGAAATGCTGAGAAAAGACAAAGGGAGAGAGAGCGTTAGTGTCAACTCCAAGGGGGATCTGAGAGCCTTCCGCTGCACTGAGAGCCAAACCTTAGTGACAACACTTTTTGGATGGGAAAAAGCAGTTCCTATTCCTTGTCTGCATCAGGTTGACAAAAACACCTTTAATTAAGACAGAAAGGGACGTGGTGCTGTATATCACTGCTTGTTTATCTATGCCACAAACACTCGTGAAACTTCCATATTCTCTCATCTCCCCCTTTCTCTGTGAGTACCTATCTGCATCTTCCTAGCACCATCTTGCTGTGACAACAAACTGAATAGAGCACAAGGCAAGAAATTCCTGTGATGACAAAGTGCAAGTGTGGCAGAAAATCATGGTCTTCAGTGCCTGTCCTTGGTGACAGATACTTTCTCATGTTCTCTGCCAGCGGCAATAGGCACACTGATGGCCCAGAGAACACCAACCCAGCTGCTGATTTCTATCAGAGAAAAAAAGATCGGTTGGATCAACATAACAGGAAGGCCCCCTGTTGTATTTAATTTCCTCTGGGATTTAACAGCCCCTCTGTGGACCATATGAGGTTGTACTCCAGCCAGATAATGCCTGTGAAATTCGGCTCCCCGATGAAGTTTAAACACTACAGATGGGCTGTTAACAACAAACAATCATTCCACTAATCATTCCAGTAACAGTTAGTAAATCTGGCCAGTTCTGCTGCAGAGCTGGGCTCCTGATACTACAGTGAACCTGCTTCCTTTGAGGCACATCCTCCTTTTCAGAAGTCAAATCACTAACTTTTCCATTTGCTACAACAAAGTATGGGTTGGGCAGGGAGAAAAATGATGGCTGCCAAACACCAGCTGAAAAATTATCCCATTTGTTGGCAGATTGAGGCTTCTGGCTCAGGGAGAGGAAAGAAAAGACAGATAGATTCAAGTGACTGTATTACACAGACGGAACTGTGTGACTTAAATGAACTGGAGAGAGCTCAGCAGAGTCGGACTGGGTCTGTCCCCCCACCCCCTGCCTGGAAAAGCATCTGGGTGGGTAGAAAAGCATTGAAAGCAGTATATCGAAATACCAAGAGCAACAGGGTATGGATGAGAGTGGGAGAGAGCACAGAGATCCTAGAGTGGAGACATGAATGCCAGTGAATTCCAGTGTGAGAGCTGAGCTCAGGAAGGAGCCTGGCTCCTAGAGAAGCATGGGGTGCATGCAGTCCTTTCTTTCATCAGTGCTAGGACTGAGGGAGGCGGTGGCCGGAGGACCCCGGATGCCGGAGCCTGTAGGTTCCTGCTCCTACAAGAACGTGTATTTGTTTTACCAGAGCACAGTAGCTCTGTCAACATTCCACTGGCTGTCAGAGGGCTGGGGAGTGAAGTAGGCTTTAGCTGAACAGACCCATGCTTCCAACAAGTGGGGGAGGGAGATGGTGAGCTGCAGCAATCTTGAACATGTCAGTGCCTTTTACCCTCCAACATCATCCCTCACCTGCTCGATTTAAAACCTCAGATGCTCACAGAGCATGCTGGAAGTGGGGGTGGAGTCCCTCCCATGAGCATTCTGCCTGACACGAGGTTTCTCTCCCTTTGCTTCCTTCCCACTTGTCCTCTGACTGCCTGGAGTGACAGCCCAACACACCACCATCCGAGGCTTCCCTGGAGGGCAGACACTGCACGTGAAAGTAAGGCAGAAAAGGCATGCTCATGCTAAATCCCAGCGTTGAGGCCCTCCCTGGATGTCTGGGCTGAAGTTTTCTCCACTTCTTCCCATAGCAGACGCGAGTTGGCGGGGTAGCTTGGTAAAATCTACCCATCCATTTCCAAGTTGCCTAGAAGCATTTCTGCACTTAAATCAAGTGACGGAAAACACCTTCCATCCGTGCAGAGCATAACTTCTTCAGAGGGACCTGAGTCAGCAGATGAAACTGGGTTAGACAGTTATCTAAAAACCACTAGAAAAACAGGTTTTGTCCTATCCTACAGCATAGAGGGATAAAGACTTCGGAGTCCTGAGTATTAACCTCAGAGAGCGTCTGTTCATGTAACAGCTGTTCTTTGTCTTGTGTTCTCTAAACAACACAAGCAAATACAGGATATGAACACGGTAGCCTTACGGTAAGGGCGAGAATATAACCACAGAGAAGTGAAGGGATTCAGAGTGCTGGCACACCACAGCATAGCAGAGCCAGGATAAAACAAGAGGCATTCAAATCCTATATACTGTTGTGACCATCAAAACTAGAACCACTGTGTAGCCCTGGAGGAGAAGCAGAGCTGGATGGACAGCTGTGAGGAGAGCTATCTGCAACTCTGCCATGTGCTTCAAATTTCTTTCATGACTGTGCATTAACAAAGGCAAAGGTGGGAGTAAAGAGAGACAAGAGAATGCATTTATGCAGTAGCTCCACAGATTATCTTTTAGTGGCATCCCACCCACACTTAGAACAACGATCTTTCTCGGTCAGTCAACAATCTTTCCATTGTAGGACAAACCTACCTGGAGGGAAGAGGCAGAGATGTGCCTCTGGCTATATTCCTAAACAAAAAACCAGATTTGTTGGAGGACCTCACTGCTTGGAAGCAAGGATGAAGGCAACACTGTTCTCCAAGAGACATGGGAGTTAGGTCCCCAAGAGACCATTCTCTCCCAGGAGACAGAGACCTACTGCACAGGACAGGGCAAACATAGGTGATAAGCAAAGAATGAAACTTGCAGCTTCCCTGGGCATCCAGAAATGTTGGGGCACCTACCCCTCTCTGGGCTCCTGGGTCATATCCTCCATCACAATTAAATACTGGCAAAGCTTTCTCACCAAAGCAGTCCCATTTCAGTTCTCATCACTCATACATATACCAATCCAACATCTCTAAACACAGACGGTGGAGAGAAGGATGATAGCCTATGAGATTTGGAATAACTATGGTTATTATCAAAGGGGGCACCAAGGATCCGACACCTTCAAGGAGCAAGAGCACCTATAGCTGACACAGAGCTGAAGATTGCTATTTTACTCAAAGAAGGTGGCAAGAAGCAGAGGAAAGCATAAGCAGAAAGGGTAAAGCAAACAAATATAATGACATGGCTTTGTAGCTGGCTATATCCACAATAGAAACTACAGGACCAGCAGGAAGCTGTCACCACATCCCAGGAAGACTGCTGGGTCTCTGGGTTGGCTCCATTCTCTCCTGAATCCAACAGGTATTGTTAATTTTAGATTTCTTATTAATATAAGACACCTGTGCATGCAACCACATGGTAAGAGGAAAAAGAGTCCTCTTGTCCAGATTCAACTGTGATGGGCACAGTGAAGAGCAGCCCAGAGTTTATTTTGGATAGATGCCATCAAAGCCACTGCTAATTAGCTCAGTTTGAGCCTGCTAACCCAGAACAGGCAAACTCTGTCCCACCGAGCCTCATTTTGGGAGCTGCCCTTATCTGGCAAAACTCAGAGGCTTCAGCCATACACTTCCTTTGCATGTGTGAGAAAGAAGGCTTCAGGAAACTGCATGTCCCAGGGTGTGGTGTCTCACAGCTGTGCAGATCATGGCAGAGCATGAGCTTCTGAGCGATATACAGAAGCAGGTTTATCACCTGACCAAATGGATAGTAGCTTTATCCTGGCTGGAAGGTCACATGCCAAAGAAGGTGCTGGGTGGCCACCAGTGCTCCCTTCCCATCTGGAGTGGGGCCAGCACAGCTAAAGGCCTTCATGTGCTGCCACAAAATGACACAACCGTGCTAGGCTTTGGGGAGACTTTTGCTGACACAATGGCAACAATGATCTCAGCAGACCAGGGAAGGTCCAAGAAAGAGTCCCCAAAACTCAGATGTGAAGGAAGGTGGGATAGACAGACATACAGGAGCAGAGCAGGCTCATTCTCTCACAGCCTCTTCAAGACCTAAACTCTTTGAGAGTGCCTTCCAGCCAGCACCCACTCCTCAGAAGGCTGGTCAAGACATTTGTGACAATGAAGGACTCTGCAACTCTATTGAGATCGTCTCGGGTAGATTTTGCTCAGATGGGCCTGGCTTTAGTAAAGAGGACCAGTCAACTGGGAAACTTGACCCTTACCATCCTAGCCCAGAGGGAGTGGGTGTGCAGTGTACTGGGGAAAACAGCTTCCAGATGGGATACGAAGCTCACAGCATAGTCTCATTTTGCATTATTCTCTCCTGTTATCTCCCCCTCCCTTTCACACCCTCCTTCCTTCTCCTTCTAACTATGCTCCAAAGCCAAGAAATAGCACGGGATATGTTTCCAAAGCTGTATTACCAGTGAGCGGTCAGGGAGGGGGCAGCCAAGGGACAGAAATGCAATGGCGAGGATGTGCTGGATTTCCTGATCCAAGCCTGATTTCTAGCTGCCCATCCCCCCCGCACAGTTCTAGGACGACGGGGAGGCAATGCCCAAAGAGGATTAGCCAGTGTGCACAGGTATGGAGAGGCAATGACCATCACATCTCTAGGCCCAACAGAGAGCCTTAAGCTGTTCTGGTGCCACAGGAGAATCTGCTCAAGCTGAGGACATCTCAGCTATGGGGAGAGAGTGAGAATCTGTCAGCTGCTGGCTTCTGCTCCCTCCCACTCCGGGTGATCAACATAGGCACTGAGTCTTCCAAACATATTTCCACCACATGTTTTCATCCTGACCTCATGCTTAGGGTTGTCTAAATAGCACACTGTATGTGCGTGCGTGCACTTCTCATTTGAACACCCTTTCCTGTTGTACAACAGTTATCTGGGGAGCTAATGTAAGGCATTCAGACATCCAAATGCAAGCTGTACGTTTCTCCCCACCCAGAGCTGGTGTTAGACCTCTGGAGGCCTCAAGCACAGACTGAGGCACTAAGCCTTCTCCCCTGCCTGGGCGTGCATGGAATGCCTTAAGGTGTCACTCCTGTAGCCCAGGGGCACTCTGCATGGATGAGGAGGGGATGATTTCCTCTCCCTGGATCCAGTTCTCTGTAGTCATCCTGGCTGCCTCTGTCCCTCCTTTTCCTTTTCATGCTTCCATCCTTTGACTGTGACTTTTCCTTTCCCATCTCCAGCTGAGTTGTTTGGAGACAGTCTCTCTTCAGGATCAGCCTGGTTCTCACAGCCTTTCTGGTCCCATCACAATGGTCTCACTCCAAAGAGAAAGCAGCGAGGGGCTAATCCAGCTGGGCAGCAGCCCAGGCCCAGGAGACGAAGGGCCTTTGCAGGTTGGAGGTTCTGCTCGTGCTGGCAGGCAGTGAAGATGGGGAGTGGATTCTTCTGAGTTTTCTCTTTTCTTTTTGAAAGTATTTTTCCTCTTTGCTTGCCAAGATAAATCTCCTGTCCCAGCTGTGACATCTGCATTTCCCTTCTCTGCTTTCACTAAGGAATGAAGCCCCCTGCACTCCAGCTGCAGAGCTGAGGTTTTCTTTACATTCCAGGAAAGAAGAGCCCATACACTCCAGACAGTCCTTCTGCTCTCTTTAAAATGCAGAGAATTTTAGACCTTATGAAAGTGAAGTTCTCAACAATGTTAACAAGATTCAGGCAGGATGGACAGATGCTGTGAACACTTCTCCACACACTCCAGTTGGTGCATGTGCACCCCGAGGGGCTCAAGTGATCATCCAACCACCTCTTGGCTCTCAGACCCCTCTGGTACCCCTCTATTCTGACCTGTATTGCTCTTGCTCTCTCCCCTCATGTACCACTGCTCCCTGCTCCTCCATGCCTCGTCTGCCCAGATCCCTGATCTGCTTGGACAACTTGTCATTGCCCTGCTACCCCCTTGCTATTCCTGCTTCTCTGTGTGCCATGGCTGAAGCACCAAAGGCCAAACTGTCTGTGGGCGCCATTACCATTTCCCTCCAGCAGCAGGACAGCACTTGGACCAGCAGCACCTCTCAGTCTTTCCCAGAGACTGTGGCAATGCCCAAGTCACCTGTGATTACTTTCAGCATCACAACGTTGAACTGCATGGTGGACCAAACTGAACCTGATCTAGAACCAGGCCCAGAATTTGCTGCTGTCTGTAGAATCACAGAGTCACAGAATCGGTTAGGTTGGAAACGACCTCCGAGATCATTGAGTCCAACCTATGACCAAACACCATCATGCGTGCACATGTAATCACCACCTCCCTGGGCAGTCCATTCCAATGTCTAATCCCTCTTTCTCTGAAGAAAGTCTTTCTAATGTCCAACCTAAACCTGCAGCTTAAGACTATATCCTCTCGTTCTCTCACTAGTTGCTTGGGAGAAGAGGCCAACCCCCACCCAGCTACAACCCCCTTTCAGGTAGTTGTAGAGAGCGATAAGCTCTCCCCGGAGTCTCCTCTCGTCTCTGCAAGGCTCAGGCACAACTCGCTGTGGAAACCTCCTTCCACCGCGCATCCGTGCCAAGGTCCTGGATTTACAATTTCCAGCGCTAGGCGCCACAAGACATAGGAGGGACCGACGGCGGCTCAAGGCACAATCAGGGGAGGGCGACTGAGGGCGCGGCGCGCAGGGCCCGGGTGCCGCAGCCCCTCACGGGCCGGGCGGTCCGGCCCGGCCCCCCCGCGCGCGGGACGGCCGCCGGCGGGTAACGGTCGCCGCGGCGCGCTTCCAACGGCCCGCAGCGGCGGCCGCCCATTGGCCGGCGCCGCCGAGCGGCGGCCAATGGGAGGCGGCTGCCAGCGGCGCGCGGCGGGCGCGAGGAGTGCAGGGTTAGGACGGAGCGACGCGGGCCGCTCCTTCTCCTGCCGGGATCCTTTGGGAGCGCCCCAGGGAACACCGTCCCGGCCCTTCTGCAGGCACCCTCCGGCACATACGGCTCCCATGGCTTGCTGTAACCTTCCTGGCAAGCAGGAAGGTTTCCTGATTTTTTCCCCCTCCTCCCCTACAACCCTGGCAAGGGGGACAAAGCCATCAGCTGGCGGAGCGGGTGATGTTGTTAAAAGCATGTGCACAACACAGACCCCTTCGAAATTCCGACACTGCAGCTGTGTAATAGCTCAGAGTTTACAAGCCTGCAGTTCATTGGGAAGGAACCTTGGGAGGCACCAGCTCAGGAAGAGAGGGCGAGTTAAGTATTTTACTTCAATGTTTTTGCTCCTGAAAGAATAAAAAGAAGGGAGAAAAAGGGGAAGTTGAAATCTGCTAGCCTGTGACTGGGTTTCCCAGCAGCACCGGTGGATGCACTTTGAGTGCTGCTGCAGTCCCCACATCTGGTTCTAGTGTGTTCAGCATAAATAGGATTAGCAGCCGGCATTGGCAGTGGTGATGTGGGAGAGATTGGGAGTGCCCTGCAAGAGGAATGACTGAAGCAAGGCAGAACGCAGACCGATGTGAATCAAAAGGCAAGTGGCACTGCAGTGTGGCCATAGTGTCGTGGCCATAGTGTCGTGGCCATAGTGTCATGGCCATCTGTGTGTCCTCCAATCACCTGCGGGTGCCACAGTGCAGGGCAGGTATGCACGTGCTAGGGCGGAGGGGGAAATGGCAGCCACCCTTTGGCAAAGTTGGCTCCACTGCCCTGGAGTGGGAAGCAGCTACAGTACATAGTTTGCCTATTGCATGAGACTTGCTGAATCTGCAGAGACAGGAGCACCCCTCCTCCCGGAGCAGCAGCACCCTGGAGGATAATGAGGAATGCCTCCACTTTTCAGAGTGCTTTTACTGTCTGTATCCTACATATGCAATGAACATCCCAAATTTCCTTTGGCTTACAACTGCCTTGCAGCTGACTGGTTAAAAAAAATTAGAGCGGGACTTAAACCATGCACAGAAGCGGACACAACCCTCTTGGGATGAAACATTTAGATCAGCTGCTCTTAGCCCTCATTTGGCAGAAGATTTGGGGTGTATTTCTAGGAGTCTGTGAAAGGTAAATAAAAAGTTTGTCCTTCAAGGCTTTTCTTGAACTTGGAGAACTGAAGACACCTGCTTGCTACAGAACAAAGTCGCCTTTATTTCTGAGCCATCATGGTGGCAGCTGGGCTGTGTTCAAACAGAGATGCGTAGGAGCTGTTCTCCATGGGAATGCAGGTACCCCTGGGCAAGCTGGCAGGGGTCTCTTCCTCTTCTTTGCTCCTTCCCAAGCCAAGGTCAGTACAGTTTCCAGGCAGAGACTTCACAGAAGCAGTAGCTCCTGGAGAGAGAAGCTGTATTGTCATCTCTGCTCTCTTGGCCAAATTGGTGCTTTGTGTTAACATGGCAGCCTCAGCTGCATTTGCAGCAGGCTCTCAGTGACACTCTAACTCCACACCATGATGGGGGGCTTTCAGCTGCTGGAGTGTCTCGGGGAGGAAGTTCACGTGAACTTTATGTCCATATGTGTGAAAATAGAATCCATCAGTTTTGGGAAGGCCCTATCTGCTATGTGATCCCGATCCACCTTCATCCAGGTGTGCCCTTTGCAGAGCCCAAACACATCCATCCCTTCTCAGTCACCACAGAGGCACAGCAGCAAGAACACAACTGGGTGTCCATAGCCATGCCTGTAGGCGTACAGCATCCCTGCACAACCTAGGGATGTATCTCTGGCCCAGCCTTGCAAATCTAGAGGCAAATCTACCCTGGAAAAGCCTACGTGGATTTAATTGTGTGTGGCATGTCTGCCTGAGCAGTTTGCGGAACAATTCTGCTTAACGGTGAGGGATGTGTGGTGCAATGAAAGGCAGCAGACAGGGCAAATGAAAGAAAATACTGGTTTACTCCGCATGACTCTCTGTGAACAATCCTGCCATGCTGACGTGAAGCTGGGTCACAGTATCACCAAAAGACATGAAATGCAGAATGAATGTTCAATACAATTGAAAACAAATTAGAGAGGTGCAACTGCTCAATCTGAGCACCAGTCAGTGGGATGGGAGCGTTTATATTCAATAACAAAAATAAGTTAGAATAAATGCCACTCCACTATTGCCTCCATCTTTCTTGGAAGCTTCTGGCCCTGCCCAGTATGGAGTTGCCAGAGTTGGCAGATCTCTACTCTTAGACAGCCTGTCAGCCTCATACCATTATGAGCCTTTTTTCTGCATCTTGCACGAAATCAAGAAAGGCACACTGGGAGATAGAGGAAATCTTTGGGAGATAACCACAAAAGGAGGAAAGGTCTGTATTATCTTTACAATCATTTTCATTTGTTTAATTGAAACTGTTTCTCTTCAGTGCTCAGAGAGCAAAATCAGAGATAATTCACATTTTGTCCCCTGGCAGGTCCCTGTAGACCCATAAAGAAAAGCAGGACTTGGAAGAGGAAGATAGTTGTACTCTGTTCAAGTCCAAAAGCTGAGGCATGCAGCTAATACCAAACATTACTGGTGGCTTTCATTCCTTGGGCCTTTGTAAAGGGCAATTACAGAGCAACTAAGTATGGACTAGCTGATTTGTGACTCAAGGATGTGAGGGATTTTCACGCAAAATCTTGAGAGGGCAAGAGCTGGAACTCTCTTCAGTGGCCAGGCTGGGTTTTGCAAGCAGCAGACTGAATGGGGTCCCGCCCCAGGACAGTTTTCAAAGCAATTCAACTTGGAATGCAGATTTCTGACCTGCTGCCAACATCCCAGTGGAAAATCTGTGCCCTGAGCAGCAGATAGGAAATTAAACTTCAGCTTCAATGCTGAGGGTATCATTTTCACCATAGCAGTGGAGCTGCAGAAACCAGAGTCTCTGGAGAATGGGGAAACCCTTCCTAGCCCACAAAGGGCAGTAGCACCTCTAAGACCATTCATCACTACCGGGGCATCCTGGATTAACACCATCCTGGGGTAGATGTTGGTGTGATGTTGGTGAACCAGGGGGTCAAAGCCCTTTATTTCCAAAGATGAGGATGGATATCTGACTGGTCAGAGATCAGGCAGTCATTTCAACCATGGGATGAAAATCACTGCTGAAGGAGAAAGGAAGTCTGTGAAAACCCTTTCACAACACCTGGCTCTTGAGCTACGCCCTCTTCAAGCTGGACTTCTTCATGACGAGGCCCAGCAGCCAAGTGCCCTGTAGCTGTTCAGAAGAAGTAGAAATGTGGAGATGCATGGTATCATGCACTCAAGCTTCTGAGAAGATCCCAAGTTCCTTTGAAGACAGGAAACCTATTATGCCCTGAATTCCTGCCGTGTAAGTTCCTGTGTCTGAGATCAAGCAGACATCTGCATCCCAGCATTGGAGTGGTGTCTGCAGAAGCTGGTGGTTTTATGAATCCATTTTCTGGATGTCCCTGGAGCAGAACAAGGAGATGATGCACAGTTTCATGGGTTTTAGAGCCTAGAGGAACCAGTCTGGTAATCAAATATGGTTCCTTACAGAGCTGAGTGCAGGAGCTGCATTCATGTCTCCTGCTTCAAACTCATCACGTGCAACTGATCTCAGTTTAATGCCTCCAGATGAATCCGCTCCTTAAAAAAAACACAACCAAATCAACTAGAAGCTAAATACAGTCACCAAACATATGAGTCATTGCAAAGAGGAACTCTCTAGCTTAAGTGTCCAAAGTGTTTTCTCAGGCTTTTTGCTCTTAGATAAAAAAGTCCTTACTACCAGAGATCTTCGTGAGAACAAATCCAACTCACCTTTTAATTTGTGGAGTGTGGTATGGCATGGCCACCCTGCCAGGTTATTCTACAGACAGCAGAAACAGCATTGGTCATATTGCAGGCAGGGAAAACTTGAGGACTTATTTAATGATGGCAAGTGGTGGTCACGTAACTCCACGTTAGCAGCAGGTTTAAAGATTAAATTATCTTTCTGTGTAGTTAATTGCTAGATTTTAACATGATCAATTCACAGGGCGAAGTGAGTGATTCCTGTGGCAAAAGAAGTTACAGCCCTGCCGTGGTAGTCAGTCCAAAGTGCGAGCCTTAGAAAATCAAGATAAAATCTACAGTGGTTTGGCTTCTGGACATCCTTTCAGACATGGCCTTATTCTGTAGGTATATAATCCAGGACCAGAAGCAACAATAACCATCCATCATGTGGATAACATAACAGTGTCCATCATGGTTTTATGTGCAACAAAAGAGAAGAAGCATCAGTGAGAACGTCCGTTTCTGTCCCTTAACCCCAACACTAAGTGAATTTTCCCAAGTATGGTGTTTTCCATATAGACGAAACCCTTCACAAGTGCCCAGTGTGTCTCCCAGCACAGATGCAGCCAGCCCTCTGTTCCTGCCTGGATGCTTATAGCAGCAGGCATTCTCATGCCAACCTCTTCCCTCATGCCTCTGCTTCCTGATTCTCCCCTGCTGTCCTCCTCTTTTGCTGCCTTCTTGTCTCTTCTCTCTGAAATGGTGCACACATTTGGCTTGCCTTCATTGTGTGATAAATCTCACCCTGCATCTTGGGTTCGTTTTCTGAAAGTTTTGAATGGTGTCTTGGAAATGCTGTTGGACAATAGGAGCTCTTTGAACCCTGGCCAGCTGGACGGGACTCCTTGCGTTGCAGCTGACATGCAGGCTTTGGCGGTCTTTCTCGACTCTCTCCTCTCTTCTCTTTTCTTTACAGCATTTGAATTGTCCTCAAACTTCATTTTTTGAGTGGGCAGTGCATTTCTGAATATTTTCATC